ATGTTTGATTAACAGGAAAGGAAGGAAATACTACCATTGAGCTGGTATAGTCAGAACAGTTGGCACAAAACAGCTTCCCAAAGTCTGCGTTGCATCCTCCCACAGGAACAGGAGAGAGTAGGATTAAGGTTGGCGCCCATGGGGCAGAGGGGGTCCTTGCAGCTCCGGGGTCTCCTAGAGTTCTGTGCCGTAGCTCCCTGCTGGGCTCTCGGTAGGGTCCAGAAGAGTTGTCTGTCTCCCAATACACCCGCTGAGGCCAGCTATTGCTGGACACTGTGAAGACCCCAGCGGGAACCCAAAAATCTTTCTAAATCCTCCTTTCAGAGTTCATAAGGCCACCTGGAAAACGTAAAAGAGGAGACAGAAACTCTCCTCCCCTCAAGGAATTCCTTCTCAGGGGGCTTGGCTAGGCTGCTCTCTCCTCCAGGGCTGGCCTTCCACCCCTCAGTTCTAGGCTCTTGACCGGGGCTCATTATTTTAGCCAAACCCCACCAGGAGTGACTAGTCTCCTCAATCAATCCCAATACATTCCTCTAACATTATTTCATTTCCTGAAATGCCTTTCACTCCTCCTACACTGATTAAGGAGTCTTCTCACCGAGTTTAACACCTCTGATTGATAAGTTAATTCAATAAATGTGTTCCCACCAGATTAACAAAATTACCTTAAGTGGGTTGGGTGAATGGTGGATCGATTTAATTGTGGCCCTTACACCTCCTATGGCATTTGATGGTAGCTTTGTTTTGTTTTTTTTTTTCCTGGCACACAGTAGGTATTTAATAATAAGCGTTTGCTGATTGATTCATTGATTGCTTCAAGCCATGTGGAGAGGAAGCACTGACCTCCTAAATGTCAAAGGACCCAGTCCCTACAACACAAATATTATTATGCACCTACTATGCATTAGGCATTCAGATAAGGCAACAGAAACTAAAATTAAAAATAATCCTTGCCCTCGGGGAGCTTACATTCTGCTGGGGAGATTTAATGTGCACACAGATAAACACAAGCGATGCATGCTCTGGGGCTTTTCTCCCAAATCCAACTTGCATGAGCATGCTACTACTTCTCCCTCTGGGTTCTAGGGGAAGCTCTGAGAGACAGCTAGGGGGAGCCATAGTGCGCAGAGCACCAGACCTGGACTCGGGAAGATTTCCCCAGTTCAAATCTGGCCTCAGATACTAGCTGTGTGACCCTGGGCAAGTCACTTAAAGCTGTCTGCCTCAGTTTTCTCATCTGTCAAATGAGCTGGAGAAGGACATGGTGACCCACTCCAGGATCTTTGCCAAGAAAACCCCAAATGGGCTCATGGAGAGTCAGACAAGACTGAACAACAAATCAGTCAGTCAGACAATTAGAATTTTGAAACGAGTGTTTACTATGGTTGTAGAGTTGGTATCAAACACCAGTCTTCCACTAGTATATACAGAGTTCAAGGGAGAGGGGGTTCAGGCTTGCAGAGCGCATATGGCAAAGCTCCCCTTCCTGGGGTACACATGAAGGCCTCCCCTTGGGCATGGTGTAACTTTTCTGCTGGGTTTTTTTGTCTGTCTGTCTGTTTGTTTAGGCAATAGGGGTTGAGTGACTTGGCCAGGGTTGATACAGCTAGTAACTGTCTGAGGTGAGACTTGAACTCAGGTCCTCCTGACTCCATGCCCAGCACTCTGGACACCTAGCTTAAAGTCTTAAAGCTGACTTTCCTCAGTGCATCTAGCTTGTCTTCAGCTCCAGATGCAAACACTGAGTCAGTTATTCCATGGATGCTGCTAGGATTATGGGACTCCTTTGGGAAGCTCCAGATGCTTGGACCTTCCAAAGTTCACAAGGTCTTCTCCTAGGCAGAAGGAAGACCAAGGCTAAGCTGAGTCTCTCCTTCCCCCTCCTCCTCACCCAAACCAAGCATCAAAGGAGTCCTTCTCAGGGCTTGGCTGGAACAGCTCTCCTTTCCTGGTCGATGCTAGAATTTCAAACTAGCTTGTTGCTTTTATAAAAGCCCCACTAGGCATGACCTAGTCCCTTAACAATCCCACCAGACTTCCTACTTGAAATGCCTTTGATTCATTCATTCATTCACTGCCCAAGCCTTGTTCTCACCTCTGATTGATTCAATAAAAATGCATTCTTGCCCCATAGATATCAGGGTGGCATCCCCCCCCCATCAGTTGTGAGTGATCAGAGAAGGCTTCACAGAGGAAGGAGATGAGCTTTTCAAGAAGGATAGAAAAGCTAAAACGCAGAAGTAAGGAAAAAGAGCATTCTAGGAACAGGGGCCAGTCTAGTAGAGACCAAACATATTAGAAACTTACATATGCTTTTAATTGTAACATTGTTGTTCAGTCCTTTCAGTCATGCCTAACTCTCTCTGACGGCATCTGGGGTTTTCTTGGCAGAGATACCAGAGTGGTTTGTCATTTCCTTCTTCAGCTCATTTGGCAGATGAGGAAACCGAGGCAAACGGGGTGAAGTGACTTGCCCAAGGTCACGCAGCTAGTACTCCAGGTCCAGCCCTATGCACTATGGCGCCACGCCTAGCTGCCCCTAATTATAAGAATAGTTAGCATTTATATAGCATTTTAAGATTTGCAAAGCATTGTTGTCTGACTAGATCCTCATAGCTATCCTGTGGGATAGACGCTATTACCCCCCATTTTACAGATGAGGAAACGGAGGTTGAGGGGCATTAAGTGATTTGCCCAGAGACGCAAAGCTAGGAAATATCCCAAGTCATATTTGAACTCAGGTCTTTCTGACTCCAGATCCAATGTTCGATCCACTGCGCCACCTAGTGGCTAATATTTGAAATGCACAGAAGGAAGTCCAAGAGAAATCGCTCCGTTTTGAAAATATGGTGAATTTATTACATACTTAAAAGCAATTTTCTGTACTTAAAAAAAGCAATCTAGGGGCATCTAGGTGGCGCAGTGGATAGAGCACCGGCCCTGGATTCAGGAGGACCTAAATTCAAATCCAATCTCAGACACATAATACGTACTAGCTGTGTGACCCTGGGCAAGTCACTTAACCCCATTGCCTAGCCAAAAAAACAAAACAAAACAAAACAAAAAGCAATCTGCACATAATAGAGAGCTGTAATTTCATAGACAATCATCCCCTCCCATACACTCCTCTTTCACAGCTGCCTCATGGAATGACATCGTCTCTTCAGTTCTCATTTCAAGAGCTACCTTTCCTTAGAATCCTTTTCTGATCCTCAATAATACAATACAGTAAACATTTATTAAGCACCTACTATGTGCCAAGCACTGTACTTAGCACTGGGAATACAAATAAGAAAGTGAAAAATAGTCTGAGTCTTCCGGTATCTTCCTCATCCTATAATTTGTATTTATTTTTTACCTTTGTTCACATGTTGTTTCTTCTAAGTAGTAAACAAGCTCCTTGAAGACCAGGTCTTCTTTGTTCTTAGCATACAATAAAATTTTTGGCATGCGGTAAGTACTTAACAAATGCTGAAATTGAATAGAAATAATGAAATTTGGAGGAGGACTGGATTTTGAATAAAGATCAGATCACTTTGGGACATGCTGAGTTTGAAATGCCTATGGGACAGCCCAGTGGAGGTATCCGCCAACCAGTCAATGATGGTAGACTAGAGAGTGATGAAAGCTGGACAGGCAGACTGTGATTCGAGGCCTCCCCAAGGACTCTGCACTTACATTGACCTAGGCTTAGCCTCTTCAGAGGGCCGACCCTCTAAAGGGGTCAGTTCCTGTCCTTGGCTCATTGTTCCCCAATCAAGAGAAAACTGCAGGGAAATTTCTGCCTAAGTTCAGGGAATGGTTGAGTAAATCAACCAAATGACCCAAAGTCCTGATACCTCAGCCTCATTCAATCAATCAGTCATAGGCTTTAGACAAAGTGTGGAAAAGCCATTCATTCCGCAGGAGGATTGGCTGAGAATATTTGGGCCTGCTTTGTGAGGCTTATATAAAACCAGGTAGCTGGTTCAGAACTCAAGAGATTGACTCAAGCGGAAAGAAGAGATCATTAACCCCCTGAGAAAGAATCCACTGGGGTAGGAGCACAGTCTTGGGCCTCAGTCTCCCCTCTGCTCTTTGACCAGAGGAATACCTCATGAACTTCCAAGGTCTAACCATCATAGCTGAGTACCTACATCAGCAGACAGGAATGTCTACATCAGGAGCAAAGCATAGACTGGAACCTGATTCAAGGCTCCACAAAGATACTTATGGAAATTCCATACCCACCATAGCCAAGGGGCACATTTTATAGACTCCGGCAAAGAGATATTCAGAAGCTTTGGGTTACTCCTTTGCTGAACCTATTCTCTAAGCTTAAGCCTACATTCCCAAACTCCATATGTACTTGTGGAAGGGTATGCCCCTGCTTTGGGGGAATGTTGTACCAATGGTTCTTATCATAATACCTTAGTAAATATCCTTCCCTAAAAGCTAACTGAGTCTGTCCGACTAACTGATATCAACTGATTATCATGGTGGGAAGCATACCAGTTGGGGCTCCTGAGCTACAGCATCAGAAAAACATCTGCTAGTCCTCCAGGGTGAGATATGGGATGCCCACAGCCTAGAGACCGAATAGTTGGCATAAATACCTCAGAGCATGTGGTACAAAAAGAAAGCTTAGCTATGGCTCATGTCCAAGTCTCTCCAAATGTGGCTAAATGTCCCTCAGGCAAAAAGATGCAGTCAACAACGTGGGCATCACGTATGGGACAACTTCCATTTCACCTACCACAGAAAATGTACAAGATACAAACAGGAGGCCAAATCCAGATACATATAGCACTGGGGTCTCAGGAGTTAGTCACTGGTCCCTCGGGTGTGAGGGTCATCAGGCCACAGCATGAGGAGGGGCCTCTCCCATGGGTCCTCCTTAACAATGCCTGGGCTGGGACTGAGGTGGAACTGATTTCAAGACAGAACAGTTGTTAAAGGTCACTTCATGCCACAGCAACTGGTTAAAGGTCATGGGCTTTACAGGAAGGGACAGGTTTTCAGTCAGGCCCCCTGGTTGGTTTTTCCATCCATGATGTGAGAGTTAGAGGGATACTAGGTATTGGTGGGGATACTAAGTAGGTGGTGCAAACAGGTGACATGGACATTTCCGGAAAATTGAAGGGAAGAGAGGGCATCACTCCCAGTGTCCAGAGTAGAAAGAACCTGAGACAAGTAAGTCTGGTTGATCTCAGAAAGACCCATAAGCAGCAAAGTTTTTTGTTGTTATTGTTTTGTTTGGGGGGGGTTTTTGGATAATCATAGACTACATTTCCCATGAGACTACGGTGGATTGGACTACATCTCCTAGAATGCTCTGAGGGGATAGAACTACATCTCCCATAATGCTCTGAGGGAGCTAGGACTATACTTTCTAAGAGGAGGGGAGAAGGAGGCTGTGACTAAATCTTTCGTGCTACCCTAGGAATTTATCTCCCTTGGTGAGCCAGGGATTGGAAGAAGCCAGGACTACACCCCCAGGCCATCTTCCCGGCTGACTGTTTTGGAGGGAAGTGCCAATCAATCTTTGACGCCTTGGGCCAAGGCAGCAATTACAGCTGGGTAGACTTAGCCCTTGCACCCCACTCACCCAGTCTAGGTTCAGCCTTTGAAGCTCACCCATTGGGTGGGCATCGCCTTGCCCACTTTCTCACAATTAGTCCTACAATCAGGCATGTCATCCTTACACTTACAACCCCTCTCAGTCTCATCACAGATGCCTCCATCCCTTCTTGGTTATCATATCTCCCTCTTTGGACGCTCAGCCCTCAAATATCTCCTTTCTTTCATACTGAAGCCTTTCACTCATCACCTCCCTCAAGCATACCAGTTGCTACCACTTACGCACCCAGCCCCAACAACCCCCTCACACACTTAGCTCTGTCACGATGACATACTCCATACATTGCACACTTTTCCCCATACACACTTGCCCCCTCACACACTTTAGAACACCCTCCCCCACACTGCCCCATGTCCTTACCTTCTTCACACTCACTTTCTCAGACTCACCTTTTACACAATGATCTGTGACAAACTCACTTCCTCTCCTATGTAACCTTTTGTACGTGCATCTTTGAATTTACTGTCTCTCCTTAGACACTCCTTCTGGAACTCATTAATCACATGAAACCTCTTATGTACTCATCTCTCCACAATGATTCCCTCTCACACAAAGGCTTTGAAACATGGCCACACGTCAGCCCTTGCAGGCTCACCCCCTTAGTTTCCCATCACGACATAAAGGAAAAAGCCCTGGGCTGGGAGTCAGTAGACCTGAGTTCAAATCCTAACTCGGCCACACATGACCTGGTTGATCTTGGGAAAGACCTTTTCCCATTTCTGGACCTCAGTTTCTCAATCTGTAAAATCAGCAGATTGGATTAGGTTTCTTACACCTTTCATTTTCCTATCTCCGTTAAGAGCAGCTCCATCTTCCCAGGCACCAGGTTCAACACTTCAGTGACATCCTCAATCCTTCCTCCTCTCTCACCTCCTGTAGTCAATTGTATGCCAATTCTCTTGGATTCTACTCTAGTGTCATCTCTCAATTCAAAGCAAAGCCACATCATAAGGGGAAGAGAAGAGATGGGAGGGAACAAGTATAAGGTGCCTACTATGTGCCAGCAGCTGGCATGGGTATGGGACGCAGCAGTGAAGAAAAGAAAGAAGAAAGGAAAGCTGGGCTAGGCGAGTCTTAGAGGTCAATGCTCAAGACTAGTTTATTTCAGGAGTTTTCTCATTATACACTCATAGAAACACAACTTTGTATTGTGAGAAATGATTTGCAAGTTCTGCGAAGCCCTATTAATAACATGAACAGGCTAAGCAGCCAAAGACCATCTTTTTCTCAAGGGAAAGCGGTCAATATAAACATTCTCTTAGTACAAGAAACATTGTCGTATCTACAAATAATTCAGTCACGAGTAAGGACATGGAACCAACGAACTGTATAAACAGGAAGTGGGATAAAAGTCAAGAGAGCGTTTACCCCAAGGCAAGCCTTTGTATGTACTGACCCCTTAAGTCACTAAGGACTCAGAGATTTTCCATTAAGGACTCAGCTCCCAACAGCCATGTGCTAAGCATGTTACAAATATGATCTCACTTGATCCTCATAACAACCCTAAGAGGTATATGCTTTTATTTTCCCCATTTTACAGTTGAGGAAACTGAGGCAGACAGAAGCTAAGTAACTTGGTAGGGCTCACACTAGCATCTGAGACCAGATTTGAACTAAGTTCTCCCTGACTCCAGACCTGGTGCTCCATCCACTGTACCACCTAGCTATCTGCTAATAAAATAGTATAATACAAGAAAAAATAGCCAAATGAATATTCCCAGCATAAACCCGGGATTCACTCTTCCACAGATGCACACATCATCAGTGGGAAGCACGGACAGAACTAAGGAAATGTGTGAAGAGGTACACATGTGACCGAGGTGCATACATGGAGAGACAAGTGCGTGCCAGAGTGCACGTGGAGAGAGCGAGAAAGAAATGTTACTGGGCGAACACGTGAGGGGATGACACACACAGCCCTCTGATCCCTCCCAGTGATGGCCTGCTTCTCACTGGTCTCTACTGGCAGGTGTAGCAGGTAGGCAGCACATGGGCATGGCACTCCTCCTGCTGGCCTTATGTGATTTCCTCGGTGGTGTTTTCCTGGTCCTGTGGTCTCTGCTAGGGGAGGCTCCAAGGGGCTTTAGGTTGGGGACCTTCTCTGCCTCTAGCTTCAGCTGGAGCCCTTTGCTGATATTCTACATCTTCTCTCCAAGGGGAAGAACAGGCTCTTGCCCTCTCTTTCAGACAGGCGAGGCCATCACACATCCAAGCACTGGGCTAGGGAAAATCCCTTAGCTGCTTTTTCAGTCCTACCATAAGGAGGGGCTGTCAATCATCCTGGTCTTGACTGTGATAGGCTTTTCTTTTCCAAAAGGAGATTCCTCACCCCAGGGACCAAGCTCGTAGGAATCCAGAACAGTAGCGCCTGGAGGCATTGCCTGTTTCTTAAAACTCCACTGCCTGCTCACCACGGGCAGCTGCTTTGTATGAAAGCTTTATCTGACTCAGGGTTAGAAAGTCCCTGTAACTCCGGGCTTAACATCCACCCAACTACGTCTGTTCATTAACATTTTAGAGGTTGTCCTTCCAACAAACCACCCAGGGCTCTCTGCGTCTCGGGCACATTCACCTCACCCCTCCTTTCACAATCTGAAGTTTCATTTTGGTCTCCAGGGCCAATGAATGAAGTCGGCAAAGCCCTTAGCCAGGGCCACTGGGAGGCGGGGCCCGTGTCCTACACTGGCATTCTGTTAAAGGCACTCAGAGCCCTTCTCGCTGACTTTTTATGATCCAAGGACCCTTCCAGTTCCGACGTTCGGTATTCTGAGGGCCCAACCCGCTCTGATAGCTTGTAATTCTTCTAGTAATAGTAATAATGATAAATCAATAACAACCAAGGCTCTGATACTTACTGGCTGTGTGACCTTGAGGAAGTCACTTTCCCCTGCGCACCTCAGTTTCCTCCTCTAAGATAAAGGAGGTTGACTGAATGACCTCGGAGGTCCCTTTCAGCCGTAAACCCTGTGATCCTATGATCCTCCTCCCCCAACTTTGTCCCCGCCTTTCTCCCCCCTCCTTCTGGGCTCCCCAGGCTCCGCCCCGCGCTCTCATTAGGCGGTAGGGGGCGGGGCCGGGCCGGGCGGTGCAGGTGCGGGGCCGGAGCAAGCCAGCGGGCGGGAGGGAGGGAGGGAGGGAGGGAAGGAGCGGGCCGGGAGCGAGCGGCGGCGGCGGCGGCGGCGGCGGCGGCGGCGGCACCATGGGCCCGGCCCGGCGCTTCCAGTGGCCGCTGCTGCTGGTCTGGGCGGCCGCGGCCGGGACAGGTAGGGAGCGGGCTCGGGGCGCTGTGCTGGGGGGGAGAGGGCGGACAGGGGTGGCGGGGGGAGGACGGTCACGGCTGCTGCAAAGGCCAGAACAATGCGATGTATCCGCAGACACCCCCCCCCTCCGCGCAACATTCCCACTCCACATCCCCGCCGCCCGACCTCCCTGAGCATCCCCGGCCGGGCAGACCCCGCACTCTCTGCCCTTTGCGCGTCTCGGCCTCTTCCTCCCCGCTCTCCCCTCCTCGTTGCCGCTCTGCGTTGCACCGCTTCTCGCGCCCCCCCTCCCCTTCCATTTCCTCAGCGTTCCATCCCTTGTCTGGCTCACTCCCCCCCACCCAGTTCCATTTCGAATCTCCGGCCCCCTCCGCGTTCTATCCCGGGTCTCTGTCCCCTCTTCCCCCTCCCCATTCCATTTCGAATTTCCTGTCCTCTCCGCGTTCCATCGCTTTCCCGGCTCCTCGGATCCATTTCGAATCTCCTGCCCACTCCGCATTCGATCCCTGTTCTCGTGCTCCAAGCCCTCCCGGTTCCATTTCGAATCTCTGGCACCCTCCCCACTTCATCCCGAGTCTCGCGCCTCGCCCCCGCCCCCGGCCCCGCCGCTACACACCCCCGACAAAGAAAGGAGCCGGAGCTCAGACCCGCAGGACAGGGTGGGGAGTGAGGGGAGACGCATCCTTGGTCTGTGTGTTCCGTGCCCCGATGCGCCGCCGGACCAGATCGGGGTTTCCTCGATGCTTGGGTTGGGGTCCAGAGGGAGAAGGGGAGTGGGAGTTTCGGGGGGAGGGTTGCGGCAGCCTACCTATTCCCCATCACCATCCCCAGCATAGACACAGGCCCCGGCTTAGCCCCGGGACAAAGAGGCCCATCTTTGTCGGTCTTTCCCGTCCCTCTAGCCCACCATTCCTTACAAACTGTCTCTGTCTTGCTGTCCCCTCATTCCCTCTATCCTCATCTTTCTACTACTCCATCCCATTCTTCCTGACCCTCGAATCCCTGGCTCTGTCCCATCCTTATCCCTCTGTCCCTCTTCTTATCCTTGTCCTCTTACCCCCTTTGTCCCCCTCCATCTCTGCTATCCCTACTCCCCATCTCTGTCCTTTTCCCATCCCTATTTCTCCATTCCCGGCCTCCTGTTCCCTTCTTCATTCATGTCCTCCCTTGACCCCTGCCCCTCCACCTTTCCCTATTCCCACCAGATTAGGGTCTGAGCTGGAGAGTTGGACGAAGGTGGATATGAGAGAACACATAATGGGGAAACTTGTGTCAATGCCAGTGGCCCGGAGCAAATTCATACATTCAGGCACTGGAAGGACAATGTGGGGGAGTGAAAAGACCTCTGGACCTGGAGTACAGAGGCCAGTGATCAGATCCTCACCTCTGCTACTTACTTACCTATGTGACCTTGGGCAAGTCTTGCTTCAGTCCTCGATTTCTCCCTCTGACAAATGACGGGGTTGGATTCAACAATCCAGCCTCCACCTTCTATGTTCTAAGTTCCCTTCCACATCTACGCTCTGTGTTCAAAGATCTCTTCCACCTCAAACGTCCTGTGGTTCTGTGACACACAGGGCTTTCCACACATAGCCTCCTTGATGGATTCTTAGCCCTTTACGGACCAGTCAGGTAGAGAGCCCTTATGGAACCTCCTAGCGAGGGCGCTGAAGAGGTGCATAGTAGTTTTGTTGGGACTTGCTGAGCTGAAGATCAATCAGAGTTTGGTTCTTCTCATTGGTTTGAGGCAGCTAAGATCTGGTGCCATGGAAAGACCCCTAGGCTGGCAGCCCGAAGAACTGGATTTGTCTAGTCTTGCCTGTGCCCCTGACTTGTGGGACCTTGTCAAGTGCCTTCTCCCCTCTGGGCCTCAGTTTCTCTCTAACTTGAGGAGTGGAAGACTGAAACACTAAGGTCTTTTCTAGCTCTGATATTCTTCTGGCCCAAGCAATTTATGTTCCAAGTTCCCTTCTAGAATCTCATCTAACATCCTGTATTCTAATATTCTGTGGCTTAAGGTCATCTGGCTCTGACAGCCCATGAGTTCCATTGTCCCTTTGAGTTCAGACATTCTACATTCTAGGTTCCAAAACCCTTTCCAAATCTAAGTTCTCTTGATTTCAGGGCACAGGCGTCTCCAGGCTAAGGCCCAAAGAACCAAATGCCTCTTCCTAGGTCTGTCCCAGAGACATATAACACCATTTCTCTCATCCATTGTCATTCTGCATTCCTTTACCATCCCTGCAAACTCCCATATTTCCTCCAATCTCCTGACAGGTTACAATTTCCATAGTGCTTATATCTTCACAGAATCATGAGTTCTTTGACTTTCAGAGTCACAGATTTTCTGGATACAAAATCCAAGCTTTACGGTCCTGTCCAAGAGTCTTACACTTATGCCCTCAGAATCAAAGACTCACAAACCAGAGATTGGTACATTTAGGCTCCAGAATCTGAAAAGATTCCTGAGTTCTAGCCTCCTCACATGTACTCTGGGCTCTGACAAGACTCATTCACTCTCTATACCTTGGAGAACTAGGCTCTAAGAACAATTCATAAATCCTATAGACTCTTATAATTGTAAGCTCTGAAATCTGAAGCCTCAGTTCTATACAAGCATAGTTTTTAGAATATGAAAAGACCCAACCTCTACACCTGCAATGATAGGTGCTAGAATCTCAACCTTGTGAGCTCTAGATTCTTAAATGCTGAGTCTTAGAATCTCAGAGTGAAAGGCTCTTGGAATCCCAGAGAGAAAGAAAGTCATCCAGCTTCTACTGAGTTTGAGGGTAGATGCCATGCCTTAATCTTATAAGTAAACATTCCCCCAGAAGAACACAGTGAAAGGCCACTTGTGATGTGATAGGAAGAGTCCATGCCTGGGAGTCAGAAGACCTGAGTTCTCATCCTGACTCTCCACTAGAAATTCACCATGAGGTCTTGCAGGAATCCCTCCCACTCTCTGGGCCTCAGTTTCCCCATCTGGAAAACAAGAGGGTTGGGCTTGATGATGTGCCTATGGGTCTTTCTAGTTTGAACATGTTATGACCTTCTCTCCAGATTTTACAGACTTGGGGGGAGGGAATGGCAAAGGAAAATACTCACCCTTTAGGCTACTGGGAGCTGTTCTGGAGCCACTTATTTGGCTCTGAACCTTTCCTCTAGCTCTCCCCAATACAGAAACATCTTACTTGCCACTCTGGGAAGGACATTTGAAAGGTACTAGAGGGAAGAAAGGGTACACAGAAACACTGAGAGATATGGGGAAACAGACAAACGCACGAAGAAACAGGAACAGAGAAGCTAAAACACCACGACCTTCGGTGGTCACCCCCCACCCCCACCCCTCAGGAAGACTAGCTGATGTGTGTCTTGCTATGGAGATAGAATTCTGGTTTTTTGAATGGGGCCCTTCTGAGTCATCCATGGGAGGAAGCCCTGGGTTTGGGTGATGGTTGGGGGTAGGGAGGGAGGAAAATGTCGTGGGAGGGGGGGAAACATCTAAATCCTTCAACTCTGCAATTCTAAGGGCTGGAAGGAGAGGGGGAGGGTCAGTACACTTTGGTCCCTGATGGGTCTGGTGAGGCCCGGGGGATGAGGATGCCTGGGTCCCTGAGGTGCCTGAGCTGGGGGTGGTTAATGCCGTGCGAGGCAGTTCTGTCCCCATCAGGACAAAGCAGGCTTTCTCTCCCCCACGGAGGGAGATAGACAGACTTATTAGTTCCCAATTCCTCATGGCACCAGGGAACTTTTTCTTCCATAGCCCCATACTCTTCAAGAACTAAAGCATTCTGACGCCCAACCCTGCCAGGACCTAGGCAGCCTGACCTTGTATTCCTCTCCAACCCTCAGGTGCCCAGGCTAGCCAGGGTGCTTTCTGAGTGACATATTGGGACACCTCAGGGGAAGCCTCCTAGGAATCCCCGCCCCCGGCTTGGGCTTCAGCCCAGCATCTTGGGAGCTCAGGGAATCCCAGGAATGCGGGGGCCACAGGGGGGCTTTGTGTGACTCCAACTGCTGACTCAACCTTCCACCCCCACCAACATTTCCCTTCCAGACCCAGGAGTCTGGGTCCCTTAAGGAGCAGGGCCTGGGGGTCCAGAAACCTGGATCTCTGACTGGATGACAGCCTGGTACCTGGGTCTTTAGGAGGCTTAAATTCAGGGCACCTGGATCACTGGGAACCCAGATTCCTGGGTGACTCAGTGACTGCAAGCTTTAATACCTAGATTCCTGGGAGACTGGAAGCCCATACACCTGAGTCCCAGGAAGACTAGATGTTAGAATCCCTGGGTCCTTGAGAGACTATGTGTCAGAAAGCCCAGGAGCCTGGGTGCCTCAGAGGCTGGGAAGCCAGATACCTGGTCCCTGGTAGCCCAGATGCTTAACTCCCTGTGATACCTGAAGCTCAAACTGAAGTCCTTAGGATACTGGACGCCCTCCAACCCCAATGTCTGAGTCTGTAGCACAGCGGGAGCCCAGGTACCTGGGTCTCTGAGATGAAGGTGGAGGGAGGGCTGTTCAGGTGCCTGGGTAATGTCAGTGAGGGTCCCTGAGCTGGAGATGAAAGAGGAATTCAGTTGTCTGGGGCCTTGAAGTGGGGCGAAGGGGCTTTCAGGCTCCCGGGTCCCTTAAGGCAGTAGTCGGTTTGGGTGCCTGGATCCTTAAGGTTAGAGGGGGAGGAGAAGGAG